TCTATATAACTCTATATAACTCTATATAACTCTATATAACTCTATATAACTCTATATAACTCTATATAACTCTATATAACTCTATATAACTCTATATAACTCTATATAACTCTATATAACTCTATATAACTCTATATAACTCTATATAACTCTATATAACTCTATATAACTCTATATAACTCTATATAACTCTATATAACTCTATATAACTCTATATAACTCTATATAACTCTATATAACTCTATATAACTCTATATAACTCTATATAACTCTATATAACTCTATATAACTCTATATAACTCTATATAACTCTATATAACTCTATATAACTCTATATAACTCTTTATAACTCTATATAACTCTATATAACTCTATATAACTCTATATAACTCTATATAACCATGCATATTACCCCATTCAATCAATAAAAATCTCACTAAAACCAGGAACCACCGCGTACCTGTTATATGTATGGTGTGAAACAAAACAAAAATAAACACAAAACAAAAAAACATACAACCAAGTAGAGTAAAAGAATTTAAAACCCTAACCTACCTATGTAACTAAATTACCTTATGCCCTAACCTACCTATATAATAAATTAATTTTTAATCTCACCTACCTATGTTTCATTAACTTAACTCAAGACTCATGAAGAAAGAGAAAAAAGAGTAAAACAGAACATAAAATACTACCACACAAACAAACATGATGTATGTATGCATGTATGAGCAACCGCTAAAGAACCCTCCTAAATATAAACAAATACAACATACAAACACACAAACCGCAGGCAACATATACAACTCTATATAACTCTATATAATAAAATAAATATAAATAAAAAATTAAAAAAATAAAACAAATAAGATCAGACAGACTGCTTCAAGCGAAGCAGAATGCCTGATCTGATTTTCATGTTGTCTCAGCTCCTATTTATACTCGTTTCAACCATACATTTTCATCATTTCAATAATTCACATTAGTGAAAAACTTATTTAATGTATGTACTACACTATTATACAGTCTTAACCACAATGCTAACCGTACTAAATTGACGTCATCGAACGAACGCCTTCGAAACTTTTTGATTGGCTGGTTGAATCTGCAATATTGCTTTTTATATAAACATATAATCTTATAAATTATTTTTATACATGGATTCTAGTCACTTTATATATATATATATATATATATATATATAATATAAATTAATTATAAAAGCAACAGTAATCATTGCTATATATGTACGCACGCAGTTCAAATTTTTCTGGGAGAATTCAAAATAGTTTGAGACCACACCTTGCTTAACATCCGATTCCAAGCCAGGCCAAGCCAGGCCAAGCCGAGCCGAGCCGAGCCAAGCCGAGCCGAGCCAAGCCAAGCCAAGCTGAGCCAATATGCGTAGATTTATAAGCGCTTTCATATTAAAATTTTGCTCGCTTTATATACGAGCATCCTAATATAACAAATTCTCCATCCTATTTTCAAATTTTTTTTGATGCTTTTCAATCAGTCAGGTCATCGATATCGCGATGAAATCAAATTGAAAATTTTTTAAAAATTGTTATTAAAAGTAACTAGTATATAGTAAAAAGTTTAAATTTTTCTGAGAGAATTCAAAATAATTTGAGAATACACCATAACACAATTGTACAATTTGAATGTGTAAATACAACATAAATGTATTATACCTACGTATATACATCTATCTATCCATTTCTTTATTTAGTTTTGCCTGCGTATGATATTTGGTCAAATTTATTCGATAAGAATTGAATATAACCTTTATACAGCTGATTAACTACCATGCAGTAAAATAACTACTGTTAACATGACGAATTACCTATTCTATTTAATAAATTTTATTAGATGTTTTTTTATTAGTCAGGTCACAATCATCATCATCGATATCGCAATGAAATCAAATTGAGAATTTTTAAAAAAGTATCTTTATTCATTTTATGATATTGCAGGACCCACTTAACTAACGTCATAAAATTATAAATATAAATAATTGGAAACACTGATTTTAATTTTTCATAATGAGTTTTTCTAGCGGTGATTTAAATATTTTTAGTAAAACAATTGAGAATATCGATCCCTCAAAACCGCAACAATCGTTTCTAAGGTCTGGAAATTTGTCTCCCACAGCAACAAACAAATCGCCACTACACTCAGCCCCTGGTAGTACCCTCTCATCATTCACTGATTCAGGTTCTTTTTTTAATTCAACGGCCGCTGGTCGCGCTGAATCCGAGCAGAAAGTATTTGGATCTTTTGGTACTCGTATGATGTATAAACCTGAAGACCTTGCAACAACTGGAGCATCAACGTTACAATTACAATCCAGCAACAATTTTTTTCCTCCGGCTTCAACAGCATCTACTTCTTTGTTTGGCGGATTTGTCGAAAAATCATTTGAAGCAAAAACAAAAAATGATGCTTTTCCTAACACTAGCCTGTTTAAGGGGGTCAATGATGTTGTTGATCAAAACACATTTGGTGGTTTTGCTAGTTTGGGGTCTTCATCGGCATTTTCAAAAAATTCTGTGGCAAGTCAACAGCATGTTTTTGGCAGTCTCAACAAAAGCACAAAATCATCCATGGCTGATCCATCACCTAAGAAATGCCAGTCAATCTTTGGAGGTTTTGCTGCTGTTGTAACAGCATTAACCACCACAACATACAACCAACCAATATTTGGTAGTTTTAATAAGGAAGCAACATTCGTAACAACACACAACCCACCGATATTTGGTAGTTTTAACAAAGAAGCAACATCTGCAATAACACACAACCGAACAATATTTGGTGATTTTGGTTCTAAACAATTAAAAGAGAACTCATCAAGAGCAACAACAAATCCCAGTTTTTGTGTTTCTAATTTCTGGCAGGGTGCTCATTTAAATGTAAAGAGCACAACTCAGGCAGGTTCTTCAAATAAATGTCAAACAAATTCTTCCAACGTATCTCAGACAACTTTGTCTGCATCTGCATTTGAACCTAAGAAATCTATAACCACATCAATTTCCATCTCAGATCAAAAGGTGTTTGGTGATGTTGATGGATCAAATGGCTTTGGTGCTGGCATTCCATTTTCAACGAGGTCATCAACTAACATCAATGATGTTTCTAAAAATTTCACTGGTCATAATTTTAATGCTACTGCTGCCAGCTCTTCTGACATTAGTAATAAAAATTTTAATAATGACAAAAATTATGATGATTACATCAATGATGATGGGGATAAGATGAATGAAAAAGTTGGTAATGCTGATGCAAATGAGCAGTTGTTTTTCCATTCAGAAAAGGTTTCTCAAGTTAACAAAAGCAGAAGAATAAAACTGAATCAAAGAAACTTGAATAATGGTTTGTTGTTTGTTTCCTCTGCACATTTTATATGTCTTGTATTTGATACATATATGAGTCTCTCTTTTTCTCTTTCTCTTCTCTCTCTATCTCTCTCTTAAGTCATGTAACTATATTTTGCTTATTTTTTTGTTACAATGTTTCTTCGTTATAAAATTTCTTGCAGCCTTATCAACTTCACTAACGAAGCCATCGAAGAAAAATTCATCTCCGAAATCGTCATCTGCATGCAGCTACCTCCAGTGCACATCTCTGATTGTTAGGGATGTACCTCTTCAGTGTAACAACGTCGCCTTCCTCAAAAAACATTTTTCAGCATATGGAACTGTCACAAAAGCTCAGGCCAACGTTAAAAATAACTCTGCTGTTGTTCATTTTGATTGCCATGTTGGTGTTTTTTCACATTTAGTTAATGTTATCGTGTTCACAATGATTTGTTTGTACATCATCATAATTTTTACCACTTCATCATCATCATCATCGTTTTCAACAATATTGCTGTTCTTATCATCATCATCATGACAATCATCATCAGGAGTCAGCCCGCAATGCCAAAGTTCATGCTCACTGGTTGACTCCAACAGTTGGGGTCAAACTTTTTTGGAAAGCCCTGGCGAGCAAGACAGGTAACCATGGCAACAGCAGCAACAACAACAACATTGGAAACATTAGTGATGGCAGTTGTCTCAATGAGGATTTTTCTAATGATGCTAGGTTCAACAACAACAACAATAATAATAATAATAATAAAAATTATGAAAGTAATAATTATAATTTTGTCGGCGATAATGATGATGTCAAAGGAGATGGAACTAATAAAACACTGGGTCCCGCTGCTGATGATGACGACGGTAGTTTCGGTAAATAATATTAATAATAACATCGATTATCTCGATGATGCAATGGTGATTGTAATAACCAGGGTTGACAATACTTGAATACATGTGTACTTGGCATAATGCAGTTACGTTCATAACTGCCAAAAATCATACTTATATGCTTATACTTGAGTACTGTTTCCAGTACTTGTACTTATGAATAATGAAATTTCTTATAAGTACTGAAAGAACTTTTTTAATTTTCATGGTCAATTTTAAAAATTCGAATTTTAGTCGGATATTTGGCACCTAAGTTTAAATGTATATATTAATATATAATAATATGTGAAAATGCATGTGAGTGTATATTAATCATTGAGCGTATGTATTGTGTAAATGCAAAATGACTTAAAGTTTCAAGAATTATGACTGTATGGCTGCAATGATGTTGCAATGATGTTTCAACTTCTCATGACAGGTAAGAATAGCTTCCATTCAGAAGTTAACCCGAACATTTTCACTGACGACGCTGACAACAACGTCAAGGGAGATGATGATCTTGATAATGATGACAGACCTGAGGCTGTCAAAGATAATGATGATGATGATCTTATAAGAAATCAACAAAATGAAATGTTGACATCAACAACATCGTCATCATTGGGCACATCTCTGCAAGCCCTCCTAACTGTCAAAGCAACCACGGCAGCTGAAAGATTCAAAATTTTGGACCAAAGAGATAAAATTCTCAAGAGCGTTTATTCATTTTTGAAACTGCATAGAACAAATACTACTGACCCAACATCATCGATGCGAAACGTGGGTGAAGATGGTTTGTGTTCGGACATGTGCCCTGAAAAAGAGAGGTACCTGAGAGAGAACCAGAGAAGGCTGTCTCCCTTTGAAGTCCTGTCCAGTGGTAACAAGGTCTGTCTCTTTGGTCTGTCTGTCTGTGCATTTTCGTCGCTCCATTTGTATTTGATTTTAATTGGCTTCAAAAATAAATAAATTTAATTTAGAATAAATTGATTATGAAATGATTCTGTACAGACAGCATTAGTTGACCACAGCAGAGCAGTGAAAGAATACATAAGATCATCTGCTGACCAGGTTTCAATCAATCAACACGTATCTCTCTCTCTCTCTTTCTCTCTCTCTCTCTCTCTCTCTCTCTCTCTCTCTCTCTCTCTCTCTCTCTCTCTCTCTCTTCTTGCTTTCTGCTTTCTTCATTTTTTATATTTTATGGTATTCATGGTTGAAGAATGAGTGAGTAATGCAATGAAGAAAGAAGTTTTGATTGAACAAGAACTCGTTTAATGAGTGAACTCATTTCTCTCTCCTTCCTAATTTTTTTTCCTAATCATTCAGGACATGCCACCCCCAGAGGAACTGCGTCCTGCCAACGTTCTTGAAATGACGATGGACTATCTCCTGAGTGACGTCATCAACAAGGGGGGTCCAGGGATGTGGGGGGAGTGGTACAACTTTCTATGGAACAGGATGAGGGCAATTAGGAAGGTTAATTCATGAGTTTTCATCGTGTCCACACTCTGCACCGCACACACGCACGCACGCACACACACGCATACACACACACGCACATTAGGACATAGTGCAGCAGAGGTTGTGCAATGAAAGGGCAGTCCAACTGACTGAGAAGTCGACACGTTTCCACATCCTGTGCAGTGCCATGCTGTGTGAGGAGGACCCAAGTGTATTTGATCAGAAGATTAACAGTGAGAACCTGACGAAATGTCTGCAGAGTTTGAAGGAACTCTATCACGATCTTTCACTTAAAGGAATTCACTGTTGCCACGAAGCTGAATTCAGAGGCTACATGATACTCATGAATTTGAATAATGCTGATATCTTGAGGTCGGTTGAGTGGCAGGCTGCTTGGTTGGTTGGTTGGTCAGTTAGTTGGTTGGCAGGTTGGTTGGTCAGTTGGTTGGTTGGTTGGCTGGTTATCTGATTTGTCTGATTTTGTTTAAAATGAAAAAGTTATCCTCTTTTTCATCACCACCATCACCGTCACACGCCAGTGAGGCACAACACTGGCCTGAGCACATCTTACGGTCAGAGTTTGTAGTTAGGAGCATTGCCGTGCACACAGCAGTCACAAGTAACAATTACGTCAAGTTCTTCAGGATTGTGCGCCAGTCATCATTTCTTACCAGCTGCATATTACATAGGTTGGTTTAATTGGTTGGTTGGTTGGTTGGTTGGTTGGCTGGCTGGTTGGTTAGTTGGTTGGTGATGGGTGCTATTTATTAGATGCCTGTTTGTTATCTCATCATGATTGTGGTAGGTGTCAGTTCAGTAATATGATCATCATCACCGTCAGCCTTCACATTATCGTCATCGTAATCAACACCATCGCAGGTACTTCAACCAGATGAGGATGGTGGCAGTGAAAAGAGTTGCGAAGGCGTTCTACCCATCTGCCAGTCCTGGCATCATCATGGTCAGTCATCATCACCCTCACCACACATCACCACACATCACCACACACCACCACACATCACCATCACCACATTGCAGTACTCATGGAAAGGAATGATGGAACAGCTCGGTTACGACAACATGAATGATTTCAACGAGCTCCTAACACACTTCAATTTATCTCCTCAAATGAGCAACATCAACAGGACCACCAACACATTCGACTGCATAATTATAAACGGTCGATCAAATCGCATCGTTGAATCAGAACAAGTTCTTCCAGCTCGGAAATCATTCACACTCGTTGAATGCAAGATTACAAGTTCGCTAGGGGAGGTTCGATTGTTTGTCCGTCCGTCAGTCTGTCTATCTGTGTGTTGTAACCATAAGTCACCATTTTATTCCATTCCTGTAACTTAATTTTAAACTTTTTATAAATGGTCTTCTGCCAGTGCTCCGCAGACTTTTTGAACCCTCGGACCAGTGTTGAATTCAACGGCATAGCGCGGAACACCACCAGACTAATTGCAGAAAAATTTGCGTTCATGTGCATACATGAAGGCATGTTGCAATTTTTATTCTAAACAAAATAACAAAATGTCTCGGCATCATGAGGTAAAACAAAAATTGTTATGAAATTTATGCATCACTAACACAAAATTAGCGCGACGGAGGGTCTTGCTTCTTTATAATTTCTTCAGCAGTTGGAATGAGAAAAGTGACAAACAAACATCCGAACAGTTTCTGCACTTAATCTTCATCACATTCAAGCAAACCAATTTCACACAAGTAGGTGGAAGGGTTGTTATTGCTTTTCTGCCTGCGGACTCTGGGCATTCTGGTTGAATGCTGATGTAGAAGGCAGCGAGTGACGATGTGTTTTCAAGCCGTCATAGCGTCAAGCTCCAAAAAATTATTTTCAAATGTAATGGTCAAATTATCCTTAATATAAATAATTAAACAAAATAATGCCATTTCAACAGACATACTCAACAGACACACAACACACTGATCTCTCTAATATCATTGAGAATAAGATTGGTTAGAGGTCATATTTTCGTTTGCGCCCCCACTTCCATGCTTCCATATCATCTCACCTGTAGTGAATTTTTCTATCGCGTTACTGGCCAAGTTCAAGCTAGAATTTTGCTCATTAGTTTTCAAAATTTTTGACAGCTCACTGCGGACCACCACTTTGCGGAGCACTGCACTACAGAACATACATCTATATAATCTAATTTATAACTAACTAACTAACTGACTGACTAACAAATAACTGATTGATTAATGGATCAGATAGTGAACGGAGGTGCAATGGGGCCAATGATTCGCCCGCAACCACAAATCAGTTTTAATGAGGAAGGCTTCTACACGATGGATGACAACACGAAGTCTCTACTGCATCAGTACCAGCTACTGCAAGATGAACTACAACAACATCAAAAACAACAACAACATCAACTTCATCAACAACAACTTCATCAACAACAATTATATCAACAACAACTACAACAATTACATCAACAACAACTACATCAACATCATTTACATCAACAGCAACTTCATCAACAACAGCTACAACAACTAGATGTACAACAGGTATATATAATTTTTTGTTTATAATTTTGAGCAAGACGATGATGAAATAGATGAAGATGGATAATAATAATAATAATAATAATGATAATGATTTCTATAAATAGATCGCTCAGGAAAGCACAGAACAGCTATTTATAGAAGTACTGTATGAACGAGTGCACGAGATTCACGAGGAACTTTGCTTGGAGCAGCAACAGCAGCAGCGAGAGGAAGTTCAGCTGTTCGTTGGGAGATTCGTTGAAGATTTGTACAACACTGTGTTAGCTGATGTCTCGAGGGAAACAGTGCTGGAAAGTTTGCACGAGTCGAGGCAGATGATGATGATGATGATGAAGAAGAGAGAGGAGATGGTGAGGGAGATGATGATGAAGAGAGAGGAGATGGTGAGGGAAATGATGATGGACGTGATGAGCGATGTTCTTTATGAGAGCATGTGTGATGTTGTCAGCGATCTCAATAGAGATCTGGAGATTTCTAAACAAGCAGCTCATCTCGTGGCCGTCGAGTTAATTAATGACGTCATCACAGAAGAAGTTGAAAATAAATGCCGGGAATTCCACAAGTCTCATGTTTCAAATAAACTGAGGAGGTTGGATGAACTGAAGGAGAGAGTTAAGAAGAAAAAACTTTTAGACTATTTTAACGTTTGGATGGAGGAGTTGAGAATTAAAAAGACCAACGACACGTACCCGTGCCTGCCGAACATTCAGCAGCACTTCCAGCAAACACTCAACAACTTTTTCCCATGCCCCATCGACCAACCAACATCTTTCAGCACAGATCAACAGCAGATCATTTTGAATGACGTCATCCAAGACAACGTCCTGAAGCTGAATAAAAATATTTCCATATCTTTGTTGCCTGTGGGCGAAATTAGATGTCAACATGACTTGTTGAGAAGCAAGCTTCAGCGAGAAAGATTCGAACGAGATGGCATTCAAAAATTTTGTGATGCGCCACTTGACATGAAGAAGATAATGAAACATTACTGCTATGAAAAAAATGATGATGATGGTGGTGGTCGCTCTAATAGTGGTTTGTATTAATGTTTTATTTGCTTTGGGTGGTTGTGCGATGTGTTACATTTTGGTATCTCTCTCCTTCGCACTGCTTCAACATCTCCCGTTCAACATCTCCCGTACTAACCCTAACCCTAACCCTCACTCAAATGTCTTTTTATTGAGTTGATTTTTTCACAAACCATCTCAGTCGCAATAAATGCTGTTTCCATCATCATCATCATCATCATCATCATCATCATCATCATCATAATGATCACCGTCATCTTCATCCTCTTTGCCACCACCAATCAATCAATCACAGATATCTACATCAAGCTGGTCATCCACACACCTAACTCAGACGTGCACAGTCACACACGTAAGAAAATGAGCAAGATGAATTATAATGGTAGAAACAACGATCACACTCTATTGAATGCCTTCAACGCTGAAGCTCCTGTGTTAATGAAGTGGTTGAAAAAAAAGTTTGAAAATTCATCAGCTGAATCTTCAATGCTATCATCGTCATCTGCATCGCCATTTCAGTCAGCATCATCACGTGATAATAACGATAATGGCGTTGATAATGATGTTGATGCTGGTGGCGTTCATACAGTTCTGTATCGTGAAACGTCTCCTGCAAGTCAGTTTGAAAGGAGTGAAGCTTGTGTGGACGGTGGTGATGTTAGTAGTGGCAGCATACGTAGTGGTGCTAACAACAGCTTTAACAACATTGACGACGACATATTACCAACATTATCATCAGTGAATCTTTGCGTTAAGGTTCTTGTGGATGATGATGACGATGATGACCATCATCATCATTTGCTTGGAACGACGGGGATCATATTTGTTTTGAGTAGTTCTCGTTCGGATGATGGCGATGGTGCTTCACTGAATGAAGAAGTGAGTGGTGATGTGATGACAAGTTGTGATGGACAATGATAACAAATAATAAATATCAACTCGCACACGAACACACATGCACACAGGTATTGAAATCCGATTCACTGAGACTGCACAAGTTGCTATCAAGCATTCCCAGACTCCCACCCATCCCTATCATCATCGTGAGGCCGGAAGACCCAGACTTTTCGAATGAGGTTCTCTCTCGAAAGTTAGGGATTATGGAATTGCAAAATGCTGGCCTCGTTAGTTGTTTTGACTATCAAACTGTAGGGATTGGCGTGAATATTTGCAATCCACGATCATCCATTCTGGTGAGAACTGGCAGTCTTTGTAGTTTACTTCATTCATTTTTATTCTGTAATTATTATTTGTATTACATCGGCTCTATAACCGGAAAAATTAATTATTTATATTTTTCAGCTGGAGAACAGTGTTCATTGGCTGCTGAGGAGAACTCCTGAAAAGTTGAATATAGTAACAAATTCGTTCGTGGAATATTTTGAAGAGGGAATATTTAAGCACTTCGCTTCAAATGTGATGAAGCATCTGCGACCACCTGACGATGATAACGATGGTGGTGGTGGTGGTGATGATGATTGTCACACTTCGATTACTTCGTCTGATGTGGTCAGATAGATTTTTGTCATCTCCACCGCAATTCATTAGCGTCATCGTCGCCATCGTCTTCATTAACAACATCAGCTTATTTATTTTTTAAGAGAAATTTTTTGTTTTTATTTTAAAATGAATTTAAATAATGTGCCCAGAGCTATAAGGACCTGACGAAATTTTACAACGACGTGATAGTATGGATGACCGCTAGAGTAACTGACCAACATCTGACTAATTTCAATTACCCTGTTGTCGAATTTTCATCAGCACCATCTAGTGGTTAGTTTCCAAAAGAAAATGTGATGATGGCGATGATGACGACGCGATGATGATGATGATGATAATGATGAAATAAAATTGTGAACATTCATCACTGATAAGGGTTGCCTCCATCTTCGAATTGGAACAGCAAAGAAAGATTGTCACAAATAAATGATTTATCTATGCAACTTCTCCTACCTGAATTTAATCATTCTGATAACGATGATGGCGAGTATTTGAAGGATGGCGATGATGATGGTGGGAATGTTTGGAGATATGATGATGGTGGCCTGTGGAGCTACGTCGCTGGCTTGGTGGAAGCTACTCGTCGCCCATCCAATCTGCTGTATAAGTCAGTATGGGAAGATATGAATGATGATGATGGTGATGATTGGCTGACGCTACTTCTCCACTTACAGGGTTCAACAAATTGTTTTGAAAGCCAAGAAAGGAATTGACGGATACATGAAAATGATGAAACTCTACAGGAGTCTGAGCTCAAAGTTTATGAGGTGCATGGTTGAGATGAGGAACATGATGAAGCTGGAGGTGGTCATGAGTTGTCTGCAGTTCAAGTTGTACCAAGTCTCCTCTTTCATTGAGGAAATGCACTCCTCTGAAGTCAGTTGCACAGTTTCACTGTTGACGTTACTCATTTTGTTGTTGTTTCGTTGATTATGTTTATATTCATAATATTTTTTTAAATTTTTTATTGCCAAATGTCTAAAAACTGACCTAACGTGACAACTGTAACACGCCACACTACACAATAAACAGCCTCTCACAGTTTCGTACTGTCCAGCACTGCATGCACCGTTCAACAACCACGAACTTCTACGGAAACTTTCAGGTCAACCCCGTTCCATAATATTAATTATTACAATAACATTGAAAAAATATTAATTAACATTCAGTAATCATTATTTGAATACAAATTGAAATATAAATTATGATGGTGAATGTTGCTCGTACAGATAAAGCCAGCAAGCAATCAAGCATTCCAAACAAACTAATGCCGCCATTATCGTCACCCCCGGACAGACTTAAACGACAGGATGTCAATCTAAATTCACTTTTAAATACCGACAAGAATTATGCAAATAATGATAATAATGTAATTGATATTAGTATTCGTTTTAATGGTAACAAAATAAATAGACGTTCAGAGAATAGAAAGCTCTGCAGAAGATTGAACTACGAAAGTTCTCATCAATCATTTTCTGTTAATCTTACTACTTCTACTACTACTAGTACTAATAATAATAATAATAGTAATAATAATAATAACGAAAATAATATTAATGAAAATGTCGATAATAAGAAAAGGCTGAGGAGTGATGACGACCTGATAAGTTGCGTGCAGCAGGCCATCAATGACGAGAAAGACAATTCATCCTCTTACGAGAACTACTTGCGAGATCTCCTGCACCGTCGGCCTGGATTGATTAAGACACACGGTCGTCATCAGAAAAATAATGATGAAGATAATGATGAGGATTGGCAGACCTTCGGTGACGAGCGAGAACGTGGCAGGTTGAGAGTAAGAAGTAACTTGAAGAGGGACAGGAGGAATTCATTTGAAATGTCTGGCAGCAGCTTGAAGAAGCACACAAACATCAAAAGGATTTGTGCAAAAGTTGATGGTGATGTTGAATGTGCCGCTGTTGGTGCCCGTTTAAATGATGATGACCTCTCGCACAAGGTTGTCGGCTTGAAGTTTGATTTGAAAAAAGAGAAGATAGCGAATGAATTGTTTGAGAACAATTTGAGAAAGTCGCTGGGTTGAAAGTTACGCTTTTAAAATTCTGAATGACATTATAATTGATTTGAGTGTAAGATGATCTAATTTGCCGATTTAAATGTAAAATGATTTTAATTTATTGACATTGCAAAATTTGATATTCTTGATCGGTATGGTTACAAATTTATTTGTAATTGAATTTTGAAATGTTTGCTTGGTTTGTGTGTATTACTTTTTTAACCTTTTGTTCATTGCAACGGTTTTCCAAGCGATGTCATGCATGTTTCGTTAAAGCTTTAAAATTTATTGAGACCCCCATAACTTCCATTCAAATGAAAGGAAATGATAAAAATACTTGAAATCAATGTTGAATTTGCTGTATTGTATACGGATTGCCCGGCGATATGCTCCAAATAAAATTTCAAATTAATTAACATGAAATTATAACGTATGAAGCGCCTAAAAACATCAACTGTTCGGTTACGGTTGAGGCATGCAACAATACAGTACGAACAAACGCGTGCGTGCGTCATCGCTTTGTTATAAATTCACGTGAAAACCAAACTTTTGTTTATTGTCTGCTAGTTTTATGGTACTAAGTAGCATGAAGTGCGTACGTGTGTGTGTCCCACGGCTGGCTGCAGAGTAAGCTGCTATTTTTATTATAATTATTCTGTTGTTGGTATTCTCTGCGAAATAGTGATTTATTTTGACTCGTTAAGACCAGTCTTGGATAAAATCATTTTCTTTTTCGGTTTAAGCCAAATTCGTGGCTATGAAGTGATTTGAAAATTCAGATAAAAATTCGAATTATAATTTTTGTAAAATCGTTTCAAATAATATAACATTTGAAATGAATTAAAATCACAAAACCATGATGATATAAACTTTCAAAATTTTCTTTCATTTTTTGTCAAGTTTATACAATTAGTTTCAAATTGAAATAAAAATAACAATAAATGGATTAAATAATGATTTTAAATCCTTTGAATTCAAACCTTACCCAAACTTAATAGATCCCTATATAATATATCATAATTAGTTTTTCACTGATTTTAATGAGTTAGTCATTTGTTTTGCTTTTACTTTCACTCCTCATCGTCTACTTTAGTAAAAGTTATTAAATTTAAAACTTAGTTACATTTGAGGTATATCGAAATTTACAATATTTCTAAGATTGATTAATAATTTCACTAAATGGCGATAGGTGACATTCCATAACGTGTTCTGAGCGGCGATACGTAGTTTAAAAAATAAAGCGCGTTGAAATAGATCTATTTGAGTCTAGCAAACATTGCACCAAGGATTGATTTGTTTCATTTGAAGAAACATGTTAATGAAAGGCTTCACGCAGTTTGTTCTATCATCATTTGCATCATTATATACAGTGGCGAATCTAGACAACTTTGACGGGGGAAGCATTTTCAAAAAATGTCAAATAAAATTAACTTGTGACCGGGGAGAATTTTCGGATAAAAGTTGATGACCGGGGGAGGAGAATTTTTGCAAATTTGTTTGATAAATCTTTCGATTTATACGGTAATGTGGTCAGAATTCTACTTACGACCTTTTTAGGCTTATAAAAGTCAATTTTTTCTTCAAAACACCCTTTTATCTCCTCAAAACGACAATTTTTTTCTAACTTACAACTCAAAAAGGGAGGCACTGGCCTCCTCCATCCACCTCCCCCCTAGAACCGCCACTGATTATATATAATGTTGGTTGTGTGTAGGTATATATGTCTCTAAGGTTATTAATATTCGCAAAAGTTCTTTTAGAAACCTAATTATGAGCTGTACCTCCATTTACTGTCAGCTGAAGAATCGTTTCTTTCACTGCTTGAAAGAATAATGTTTGCGCACAATAATAAATGCATACGATGTGTTGCATTTGCATTCTCTTAATATAGCTAACGTTGTCTTCTTGTTTCTTCTGGACTTTTTATTTTATTATCGTCTGTAGATTTAAATTTGTCGCATTAATATTTTTTATGTACAGATAATCGTAGTTAATTTTAAACATTATCATAAAATTTTCTCAAAAGTTTTTTCAAATGAGTTCTAAACGCTCGAGCGTGTTGGCTGTCAATTTCAGTGCTGCAACGACGTCGTCGCCTTCAGATGGCAACCTTGGCACGTGCAATGAACCATCGCCATCAGAATTTGAAGAACTTTTGCAGTGCATGATTTGTTTCGAATCATTCAACGACCCCAAGATCCTCAACTGTGCCCACACCTTTTGCGCCAAATGTTTGGACGACTACCACGCCACGTACGCCACGCAGAAGAGAGCGGTTTCTGGAAATATTCCTTGCCCGACTTGCCGAGAGTTGACTCCCTGGCCTGAAAACGGAGTGGAAGGTCTCAGGAGAGATTTCAAGATTTATCAGATCGAGGAATTGCTGAAGAATATGAGTGTCCTAAGTCAATCAAATAGTGGTCAGTCGTTGAATGTTTGCAATTATTGCAACGCGCTGGATAAAAAAGTTCAGGTTGGTCATTTCAGTTGTAAATTTAAAAAAATTAAATTTTGTTAGGGGTTGTGTGCTAAATTAGCTTTATATTTGCTTATCACACTATCGTTTGTTTAAAATGAAACATTGAAATTAATTTTATGAAAAGATTTTAATCTTGCAAATTTTTCTTAAAGCTTGAGACAGTCGTTTTTTATTAATTAGGCTAAAAACTATTGCTTCAACTGCGAGAAAAGTTACTGCACTCCATGCATGGGCAAGCATTCGAAAAATCAACTGTTCAACAATCACAAAGTTATATCCCTTCCAACTAAAAATAGTTCAGACTTTCCATGCAAGTACCATCCGAACGAGATCATAAAATATTTTTGCAAAAGCTGTGACACTGTTGCCTGCACTCTCTGCCTCTTAGATCAACACAACAACCACAACGCAATCGAAATCAAGCAAATGATCAACGAACAGCTTTCTGACATCAACTTTTTGATGGCTGGCGTCAATGAAAAAAAGGATGAATTAATGAAAGAGTTAGAAATATTGGAGCCTATCACGAAAAATTGTTCCAAATCAATCGACGAAGCTGAAAAATTGATTAGATCAAGAAGTGAAACAATCATAAGGGAGGTGAAAAATAAAGAGATTGTAATGCTAAAAACTCTAGATAACATAAAAAACTCTAAATTAAAACACTTGGAAAAAGAAATAGACCGCATAAAATTTAATTTGAACAAATTAAAAGGAATAGAATCGATGATGAAAAATTCAACGATGACTCCATCAAAAAGTTTGAGAACTTACGATCTCTTGATTCAACGAATGAGAACAATTTTAGACGTTGATTCGCAGCTTGACGTCAATAATTTATCTCAAAACTCAATTTTCGTAAAATTCAAACCTGGCTCAGAGGAATTTAACTTTGGCAACCTTGACGAAAAAAGATTTTCCAATACGGCGCAGCAGTCACAATTGAATCAAACACCTGCAAGCTACCCAGAGCTGAGAAGTCGATCAAAAACTCAGCCTAATCTCGAACTGAACGATCCAAAATATTTGAAGCCATGTCTTAAAAGATCCATCAGTAAGGATGAGAATAGAGCCAAATTAAATTTTGAAATCCTTGTGCATGGCAGCAAATCAGGCGAACTAAACAAACCATTGTGGGTTGCAAGTCTCTTGGAATATAAATTTGTTGTTTCAGATGGCGGCAACAAACGACTTCAAATTTTTGACCAACTAGGAAAATCTGTAAACGTTATTTTAGCGAAATCCTTGGAACCACTGGGGATTGCAGTGACAATGAAAAATAACATCATCACAGCCGACACCGATCAAAAACGCATTCAAGTATTTTCTCCGGACGGCAAATCGATCTCGAAATGGGGTCTCGGAAAGTTTTTTAACCCTTGTGGAGTTGCTGTCTGCCCGAATGGAAGCATCATCGTTTCTGACGTCGGCGACAACTCAGTCAGTGTCTACAAAAACGAGAACACTTGCGTCTTTCGACTTGGAATATCAGCTCAACCTGAATTGCAATTTAAGGAACCATTCTACGTAGCCTCGGGCCAGAACAATGAAATAATTGTTTCAGACAGCAAGAACCATTGCGTGAAAATTTTCGACAGTGGGGGGCAATTTGTGGCGAAAATTGGATCGGAAGGATCAAAAGATGGCGAATTCAAAAGTCCGAGAGGCGTGTGCACGAGCGTTGAGGGCTACATCATCGTCGCCGACCAGGAAAACAACAGGGTGACCATGCTGACGCGGGAGGGCAGCTTCGTGAAACATCTCCTGACATCAGCTGATGGCATCAAATCACCGCAGGGGGTTTGCTTGACCAGGAAGAAAAAATTAGCGGTGACTGAGTTCGATCCACCGAAATATTCCACGTTGAAAGTTTTTGATGTGACAATTTGAGTACACGAATGAGCAGTTTTGTACATGTCAAAATAAATAATAAACTCTAAATAAATAAAAATGCCTCCGGCTGTGGTGTGACAAATTTTCATATAATATTCACTGAATTGATGATATTCGCTAACCAATATTAATTAATTTACACGAATGCCCTTACAAATAAAAATAAATGTTCGTGAAATGAATGAAACACATCTTTTTTTAATGTACATTTTATGTGCTTTCAATAAACCAAAACTGTTTTCTTCGCTAATTTCAACATTCATTCAGAAAATGTAAACGATTCAAAATCAATGATCATACGAAATGTGAATAAAAAGATTTTTTGTTGTATTGACAAGCAGAATGACAATTCACAGATCTGATTCTTTATAAATAGTTAGATAGGTAGGTAGGTAGGTAGTTAGGTAGGTAGGTAGGTAGGTAGGTAGGTAGGTAGGTAGGTAGGTAGGTAGGTAGGTAGGTAGGTAGGTAGGTAGGTAGGTAGGTAGGTAGGTAGGTAGTACGGGCCCATAATTACTCGCTGTCGTAACCAGACAGCACACTCAACCTTATTTTGCCTTCGTTCGTAGTGTGCAACTGTTTCGTCGGCAGCTGCGTTTCAAGATAGGGACAAAATATTTATTACTTTTCGTCTCATCATCTTCGCTACGAACTCTTTAAAATTAATTTAAAAAATTTAAAATTCATGTGATGTACAATTGTGTAAACCTGTAACGTTGTTGTTGAAGCTGTTGTAACCTTCTTAACTCTAAGCAAGTTTGTTGTTGACGCAGATGGCACTGTTGATGATTTTGTTGATGATGATGGCGTCGTTGATGGCGAAGATGAAGTTATCAAGGACGATGGCGCGGTGGATGATGAAGTTGCGTCCTTGCCGCTCCTGACTTTGTGTGAGAGGTGGTTGAACAAGGAGATGGCGTGGAAGGACTGCTGCATAGATCGTGCATCAAAGACCGTCAGGATCAATTTATTTCAATATTTATGAACATAAATAAACTTATTCATCAACAGGTGTCTCAAAATGCAAACTAGCAAACTGACGAATAAATAAATGGAGCTAAAAACTGTGAAATTTTATTAAGGGCTTATTAATTATTACTAAATGAATTCAACATGATTCTTTAAATTAATATTATATTAAAAATAAAATAGCTAATATAATTCATAATTTATAATTATTGATAGTTTTAGGATACACGAACCATCCATCTTCTTCGAGCCATAAACGATTTCAAGTTTGTTAAGTTCAAACGCGATTTTCTTCTGTTTGCCAGTTCGTTTATGTCTTTTGGCTGATAATGATGGTGGTGATGAAGATGACGACGTTGACGATGATGATATGAGGCGAAAAAAAAGTTTTACATTTATCCACGGATGTTCTAAGCATTCAGTTGCTGTGGGTCTTTTTCTAGATGAATGGTTGTTAGTACATTACAAATTTATCATTCATCTCGCTACCCCTTCAATAACAGTAATAATAAACAATAACGTTAACGATAATTCCAAACTATTGATAATACTAATATAAATGGTGCATCGCTCAAAATCATCAACGACAAACACAGAGCGCATGTGATACGTGTGAATCAACGCACGGAATATATTTGACAGGCGGAGATCCCTTGCGTTTGAACCCGAGTACTGAAATAAAGGACCAGGTGCTTTAACCCATTACACCACCTCGCAGCCCATAAATTAACCTTGGATTTTTGACCAGAAGGTTTTGAATGAAATCCTTGGCCAGATGGCTGGTGGTTTTGAAATAATTTTCATCAAATTCATATTCCGCCCTGCTTACGTTTGCTAGAGTCGCCTGCTTGTCATCCGCCAGGAATGGAGAAAACCCGCTTAAACTGTTGTCATGAAGAGGATAATGATTTTAATGATGGCGATAAACATCAATGGTGGATTTAAGGGGTGGTTATTAACATCCAAAAACCATTTTCTTCAAATTTAACCAACATCTATTGTTTAATAACTTTTTATACATTAAAGCGCAGTTTTTTTTATACCGTTTTAAATGGAAAAGTTGGCACAAAATTGTGTGAAAATGTTGAAAAAAGATCACCAAGCATTCCCTGTTTCTGGCCCACCTCGTCAAACCTTACCACCCCTCTGTCGAAGTTGTCTTGATTTATCCGTTGTAAACATGATAACAAAAAAACTCGTTAAAAATACTCTAAATAATTGAGAACAAAGGCATCTTAACGAACCAGACAAGCAAATGGCCATACATAACAATATTTAAACATTTTTTATTAAAAAAGTGAATTATTAAACTATTTATAAAAAATTGGAAAGATTATTAATTTAATTTGATGATACTAAATTAGAAGAAACTTGCGTAATAAATGCGATGACTCCGATGCTCCAGATGTCTGCCGCTGCTGTCACCGGGTCGAAGTTTATCACCTCTGGTGCTGGCAATAATTAGAAAAATAATTATAAAATTTTGACAAGCGAGCCAACCAACCAACCGACCGACAAACTCTGGGGTGCCAGTCAGTTCCCTCCACTCCACAGACTCACTCAGCTGCACGGACAGGCCGAAATCGATTATTTTCAATTTCTTGCTCACCTCGCTCTCCAGCATCAAGTTTTCAGGCTGGCGTGTTTGGAAATTTAATTCAAATAAATAGATAACAATAAAATGGAAAACTTCTGAGCAAATAAAAGATGAATGACTGACTGAATAACCTTAAGATCGAGATGAACAATATTTTTAGCGTGCATGTACTGTGTGGCTTGAAGTACCTGCTTCAAAAAAAACACCCCCTCATCTTCACTCACCCTCTCTCTCTTCACTAAATAATGGAACAATTCTCCGCCTGATATTCTAGAGTAGCAAGAATTTAATTAATTTAATTTCAAATATCAGAATTTGTTAAAAAATTATGTTTAGATCTGATGTTGGTGCCGTTCCAAGCAACCACATCCAACACACACACACACACCACACAGAGATGCAGACACAAACACACACCACTAACAATTCGAGCATAAGAACAACTTCGAGAGGCCCTTCATAAACTTCAAACAGTCTGATGATGTTCTCGTGCAAGGAGAGGGACTGAAGAATGTTGATCTCAGTTTGTACATCACCCTTCGAGCGAGGCTGACACTGTTTTCATGTTAACAGCGTTAATATTAACCACTACTAATACGTTTTTACCACAATTAGTATGCAGGCACTTAAATTTTTATGCCTTATTGGCACATGAACGGATGAATGTAGGTTGGGTTTTTTTGTATGTTAATTTTAAGAAAAAACTCCGCATGTACGTCTATTTCAGAGGTGGCCAAGCTCCTTTATAGTCCAAAACATTTTTTTATATTTTAAATTTTTTGCGAGCCGCTATTAAACATATTAAGAAGGTATGCAAAAAATGTTTGATAATTCTTTGAACTTTGGTGAATAATCGGCTTCAGCACTTCTTAGTAATTGTCTCAGATGCAGTTAACACCGACTGTTTCTTGGATTTCACTTATTTTAAAATGGAATAAAATGATTAAAATAAATACTGCCTCCAGAATATTGAAATAACTCGACAGTATCCTTTTCAAATTCAGGATACTTCAATTCCGGTACAAATTTCCAAAAATCAATAATGGGCGTCAACTTATAATTGGATTGTAGAGCTTGATCATCTTGCACCTCTATTAATTATAATACTGCAGATGCTCTTTGACTTATTGACTATATTGGAAAAAGAAAACTCACCTTGAATTATTTTAAAATAAGGCAAAAATGAAAAAGGAACTCGGCATATTTATAGAGAGCCACAAATAATCATTCAAAGAACCGCAGTTTACCCACCTCTGGTCTTCGTTTATCCATAATATCAAATTTAGGCCTGCAAAATAATAAAAACCAACCATTTGTTGAGTTCTACACGGCTGTCGACGTCTGACAAACTTGCCTGCAAATGTTTTGCTAGTCTGCTTGTTCCTGCAAACTCTTACTGTGGCGAACTTGCCCCTGTAACGAAGATTGATGGTTTACAGGCACCAAAATCAACATGTCATTACCATTATTATAATTATTATTTTAAAAATTATCATTAATATTAATATTATTGCATAATTAAGATAGTTTTTTAGTTTAATGAGCATGCAGCAGAGACATACAACTTGATCAGCACAACATCAGCAGCACCGCCATGAAAACTCACGATCCCAGCACTGATCCGACTTCGTAATACATCTCAATGTTGTCCTTCTGCAGTTGACTCAGCACGTCGAATCGTCGACTGACTCTTTTGTTGCACATTCCTGACGAACGATGTTGTTGTTGATGATGTTCTTTCATTGATAAGAAAAAAATATAAATTATCTACAAATTTCGGAAATAAATAAACTACGTAACCAAATAACGATTGATTGATTGATTGATCAGATGATTGAAAAAAAACTCATTAAACGACAGAAAAGAACAGCACAACAACACAACAACAGAGCCACACGACACGAACTGACTGAAGAAATGATACGACATGCAAACAACGTGCTGAAATTAATTTCAACTCCAAACAACCAGCTGCGGATGTTAGATAATTACTTTACTTATAATTGTTATAATTGCTTTGTGTGCAAGAAACTTATGAGAGTATATAAAGCATAAGTACACATGCACGCACAGAAGCGCGGTTCGTTATGTATCCTTATGTGTCATTGGAACAAGTCGCACTTGATTTGATGTTTGTTTCGAAAGCTTCAGTGACAATCTATCCACTAAAGCTGAAGACTTAAACGTTGTATGATTCATGAGAACTTGAACAAACAACCAACCAAACAAACAAACAAACAAATAACCAAGTGTTGATGGATGATGGCGTCAAAAGAAACAGTTGTTTGCACATTTTATTATTAATTCTACCTACCTGCTATAGATAATCACCCCCCCCCCATCTTCATCAATACCATCACTATATCAGCAAAACTACCATTAACAATGTTGGAGAAAGCAATAGGACTTCAAATGAAATAATAGCAAACAGCCAGTTACATATTATAATGTCCAGTGTTTAATGATGATGGCAAACGTAAACCTGGTTGGCTTTCTTCAAGTGTGGCGCAAACAAACTGGCCAGTATTAATAAATTATATTATTAATCTTATGACTATCAATTATTTGCAATTATTTGGTTTAATAAAACATTAAAATAAAATTTTAATAAAACGAATTAAATAAAAATTACGATTATGAAACCATTTTGTTAAACTATTTTTTTTCAGCTATCAATTTTTAAACAGAATTTTTTTCAAAATTTAGATTTGATACCTCTATAAAGTTCTTTCATACGATACACTGACACATAAAGAAGACAATCAATAAACCATATACCTTAAATAAATGTGTGCTTGTGTATGTTAGTATGCATGCGTGTATGTATGTATGTATGTATGTAGGTGTTCAGGTTAAACGATAACAAACTTGTTGATGAAATGAGATAAAATGACAAAGTGACTTGACTTGACAAAGCGTCAGGTTGAATTGAACTGAGCAGATGAAAACTGACAAGTGATTACAATCATAACAAGTGGGTGATGACGACTAAATAACTTTAACATCCAACGGTTGGATGGATGGTTGGATAAGCAATTCTTTTGAAATTTTAACGAACTAAGGAACGAGTTTTAAAAAAAAATAGTATAAACGATAGATGAATGTCAAAGAATGCGAATGATAAGAATCAATGAAACTTGAAGAAGCATTTTTAAAATGTAATCTAATTTAACAAAAAAACACTGAAAAAAAGAGACTTGATGAACCGTTAACAGGAACCGGAACCACCGAGAGCTCTATGAAAACACATTGAACTGAATTGTAACAACGGTGCAAACATGAACAAATACGTAGATGAACATAAACAAACATGAACGAACAAACACAAATGAACAAACACGTGGATGAACATAAACAAACAAAAAAAACTCCCAACAAATATTGAAGTTTTTCAAGCAAGTTTTTGTTAACATTCTAATCTACTAACCACAGCATATAACATTAACAACAACATAACTGCCTGCAAGAAAAACATAGCACACAACGATTGTATTATATTATATAAATGAAAACATCCTGCTCAGCAAGCACAGATAACTAGATGAATATAAACAAAAACAATAAAACATTTTAATACTGGAGTCGGTAGGAGTGAGAGGGAAAGGAGTGATTCATTGCACAAGCTGGCTGACTTGTTACTTTCTACGAAGAATAAAACTATAGGTACGTACCTGAACATGATCTGTGATGCAGGGCAAGGAGATGTTTGATAGCATCGTATATATCTAAATGGTTATGCATGTATTAATTATTGTCTACGTACATATCCGGTTGTGGAGGTGTTTGAAGAAGAAGGAGGAAACAAAACGCTATCCTACCTGTTACTTCCACACTAATGATGATGTCTACAATAAATGCTGCTGCTTAATACTGATCATATTTTAATGAATATAATGGTATGCTTAAACAAGTATTTATAAATAATATATATATATATATATATATATATATATATATATATATATATATATGTGTGTGTGTGTGTGTGTGTGTGTGTGTGTATGTGTGTGTGTGTGTGTAAATATCAACAATAGATAAAAAAACAAATTATACTTTACATTAAGCTAAAATATAACGTATTTATATACGCTGTTGTAAAATATATACACGTGTATAAGTTTAAAGTAGTAAATACATATATAAATGAATAAATCTAAAAAAAATGAGTATATATATTTATAATATAATAAGTATGTAAACACTGTATATATATAAAGGAGAGAGATAGAGATAGAGAAAGAAAGAGAGAGAGAGAGAGAGAAAGAAAGAGAGAAAGAGAGGGAGTGCAGATGAAAGGCTACAAACACAAAAAATTTCTTAGTAACTTATGTATAACGACCATATAAAATAGAAAAATAATGATATTAAGTTCCAAAGTAATATTTAAAGAGAAGGAGCAAACATTTGCACATGAACAATGAAATGGAGAAGAATTATAAAATCTACTGCAACAGCCCTGATGCACTCAATCATTATTACAATTCCTATCTGCACTTAAGGAGTTATGAATTGCAACTCTAGCTGCAAGCACACAGAAGAAAAGTAGATAGCCAGCAGGAGATGAAACATCAGAGTGTGGTCATAAAAACTTTTCAGAGTGTTGATAAAAATCGAAAGTTCAAAAAACTAAAATATAAGTGAAGGTTTATTTGAATAACAAAACAAATGTTGTCATTACAATGAATGGAAAATAGAAACATTAATAACAAAAGATGGTCACAATCTTGTGGAGCCGGTGGGGTGGGGGATTCATAAGAATGGGTTGTTGGGACTCAACTGGATAGGAGCTGACTTGACGTAATCCACAGGCTGCAGTAGGTAGCATTTATTATCAGCATTCATATCAGTAGTTGTGGTTGTTGTTGTATCAACAATGTTATTGTAGATAGGATAATTATTATAATAGTAGGTGTAATTATGGCCAGAGCCAATAAAATAATTACAGCCATTATTCGAATGTTCAGCAATAACATTATTGACAGCTGTGTGCACAGCAGCAGCTGTAGTACCAATAGTAGCAGCAGGAGTTGTCGTCGTCACATCTCTTGCATCCAGTGGTTGGTAGACAAATGCTGCTGGCATATTTGAAATGTTTGAAGTGTTGGTGTTGTTGATGTTGTCATTATGTAGCGCTGACTCAAACGGGTTCAAAAGATGCTGGTGATTTTGTTGTTGTTGTTGATGTTGGTTGATGCTGCCATTAATTTTGACATTTGCAGAAATGTTTTGAAGCCACACTTCGGCCTCTGATAGTTTTCTAGAACGAGCAACATGGCCTCCACTGTTGTTGCTGCTGCTTTCATCAGCTGTGTGCAAAATTTATTTCAAAAATGAATTGAATTAATTAAAAAGTAATTTTCCACAAAACAAGTGAATCAAGTCCAATGGTAACGGTTCAGAAATATGATCAAGAAACAAAAATTTATAAAAGTGGTGAAAAAGAAAAAGTGAATGAGAGAAAGAGAGAGTGAAAAAAAGAGAAAGTGAGAAAAAATTAAAAAAAAAACCAAAACCTTTACTAAATTCCGTTTTCATAGTTGAGTGTTCAGTCAAATCTGCCGGCTTATGAGATGAATATTGCTTGTAAAAATGCACGTCGCCATCGTCACTCTTGACGATGTTGATGTTGTCATTGTTACCAATGTCGATGATGTTGTTGCTGTAGTAATAGAATTTGTTCCTTCCAAGTGGCAGTGGAACACTGTAGTGGCGTTGAAATCTGTTCGTGCAAGTAACAAGGTCATCAGGGCCCTCATTGGAAGTTTCGTCACTTGAGATGTTGGCTGGAGCATTAGCAACAACGAAATTATTAGCGGTGCTGTAAGGTTTACTTTGACTAACAGGAAATGAATAGTTCTGAAAATCACTGTCGACGACAGCTTCAACATTCCTGACATAATAACTATTACTACCTTGCCTGGCAACGTTGTTGATATTGTTGCTGACATTGTTGTTGCTGTCATGAATGATGTTGTTGTTGTTGTTGTTGTTGCTGTCGTGAACGATGCTGTTGTCACTGAATGCGGTTGCAGCAAAGTTAAGGTTGAACATTCTGACAGACGCATGTGGCCTCTTGATTTCAAACTTGTTCTCAACCTTCCTTCGCGGGATTGGATCTTTCAATGAAAATTATCACCATGTCAGATGAAAAATATAGTAATTTGTAATTATTATTATTATTAGCATTATTAATAATAGTGGTAACCAACAACAACAACCTCAACAACAGCAACAACTACAATGACAACGACAGTGGATATAATATAATTAATATCAGTTGTGATGAGTACAAGACAATCTATCAATGCTCACTAACGTTACCACCATCGCCTTCGCCATTGCAAACGTCATCATCAACACCAACCTGTCACCATAGTGATCTGTGGGTCATTGATGCGATCGACCAATGAAGCCTGTCTGAAATAAAACTTCTTAGAAAAGACATCATTATCATCGCCGGTGGTCCTCACACTATTATCATCATCCTTATTATGATTATTTGAATTATTATTATTTGCAGTGGTGGTGGTTGTTGTTGCAACTGTTGTTAGGTTAGTAGCAGCAACCAGCTGAGAGGCTAACAATTTCTCTCTGTTAACTTTCCTTTCGAGACAAACAGCAAATGCCGTCCCCAAGGCATGACTAATTCTATCTCCCTGGTTAGGCAGGGGAAAAATTGAGTAAGGATATAAAAAAAGAAAAAAATTATTAATTTTAAAAGAAATATATGGATAAGTTAATCAATTAATTAATGAAATTTGGAAACAAAAAAATTAGTAATGCATACAGAATCTTTGATAGCAAGGAAGCCATGACATAGCCATCTTTTAGTAGAAGCATCTCGACAAATGTAAGCAAAACCCTCATTTAGGTTTCGGTCAGGAGCACAAAAGGAAACCTTTTCAAGAGTTTGGTCAACCAGCAACACCTTCAGTTATTTGCAAATTAACTACTATACTATTAGTGATTGTTGCCAGTAGCAATCAAATCAATTTATATTTAGTAAGATATTATACATCCAAAAAAGATTGTTTAAATCACAACAGAGCCAACAAAAAGTTATGAAACAACAGAAGTTGAAACATCAATCAAATGCATTTTATATTTAATACACAACTTTATTTGAAAACACATAATGGTAACTTTCAGTGTAGACATCATTTATTTATGCATACATATTGAATTATATTTATTCACATTTAACTTATTAAAAGGCGTAGAGTTATAATTTCTCAGTGCCAAGGACAAGAATGATATCAAAAGTAAGAAACCAATAGATTGTGAGGCCTTTTATTATAGGTAACCTTGTTTATTTCATCAACAACTCTAATAGCATCTCCTGAAATGTGAATCACAGCCTTCTTGCATCTTCTCCTTGTTTGCTGAAACAAATTAACTAATGTATTAAATCATTAAAACCAAAAAATAAATGTATATACTAAAAATGAACTCATCAGACAAATACATGCATACAATCTTTAAATAAAGCAAAAACATAATAAAAAAAACCTCACACATGCAAAAACAAAAATAGGCAATCCAGAATGCATTAAGAAGAATGAAATAATATTAAAGAAAAAATAGCTAACAGATTTCAGAGCCCTGATTGCTTTTTCACACACAACAACGCCTCTAGATTCAAAAACTTCAGTGTATCCCAGATACTTTTATTCACCAAAAAAATAATAAATTGATAAATTAAATACAATGTATGTTATTTAAAATATACAAACAAACCAATTATAATTCATCAAAATAAATAATTGCTGAAAAATAAGGTCTGACAAGACAGATGTCATGTCTAACTTTGACTAATGATCTAACTAACTCTAACTAACTCAAGTTTGACTCTCTAAATACATATAACACTTTATAAATTATACATTATTATATTTCATTCAATTCAAATTATGTAAATTTAAATTTTAAATAATATAATAAAATAATAAATAATGATAGAGAAAATAAAAGTAAATAGTAGTTAAAATTAAAAAAAAATACAACTTCAACAGGATAGTTGCAGGTAGCATTTTTAACTTTGACTTCATCTTCAAGCCACAGTTGGGGTATAGATTGTTGTTGTTGAGAGGTTTCGTTGCTGTTGTCACTGACGTTATTAGTTGTGGTTGTTGTGTTGTGGTTGTTGTGCTGGTCTTTTTTGGAGAACTTGTGTCTCCAGCTTAAGGATCTCATAAACATCATTCAAGCAAGCGAGCGCAACTTGACTATCTTTAAAATAACAATAAAAACCGTGCAATTAACAATTTTTACCTCCAAATTTACATTTTTGTCACAAAAATGTAAGTAAATGCGAAAACGAAATCCCACCGAACATTTCCGATGAATACCATTTCTAATAAACGGTTACGGTCCAACTAATCGGCATACACCATTCGTTATAATATAATGAGACATTTAATTAGCACCTGGCTAGCATCATGCATGCATGTAGGTAGTTTAACACTCAGCTGATTATGTCCTGATGATCATAATTATGCCTAATTTTCTTATATTTTTATGATACATATATACGATATGAATTGCCTGATTGCGTAGTTAGGTGAAACACTTTCCTACAGAGGTAATCGCAAATTAACTTTCAAATATTGTAACGGTTTTGCGTCCGAATGTTCAAAAGCTGATTGTGCCATGTATGCAATTTTAGTTGTTTTAAAATTATTTAAAATTAAATGCGAACTCTCAAATAGAAAGAATCTCTACAAAGATGTATACAAATTACTCGAAAGATTGAATTTTGACGATGAAATACAAGTCAAAAAGGTATAGAATTAACCCAATCAATCAATTTTTCACAAATTTTTTTGTTGAAAACATTTTATCAACGGCAAATAATTTTAATCATGAATAATTTTGAATATTGTTTGAAATACGTTTTTTAAATTAATTTTCAAAATTGCATCACGAATCAATAAAGTTTATAATATTACTTAAGCTTACTTAAGCCTTAATTAAATGTTATTAATTTGTTAAAGACAACGGCAAATATAGAAAAGCTACTGAAAGATGACAAGGAGATGGCGTATAAGCTCGTTTATCTCATTCAATCCTCACTGGCTGCTAAAAGGTTTTCAATTCTAATAATTCCTCATACACTAAAAATGATTGACACTGACATTTTACAAGACACACGTATACAATATACATACATGCGCTTGCCAGTTTGTGATATCTTTTCATTTCAATCACTCAAAGGAATAACACTTTTTCTGATATTTTCTGATTTGTAAATAAATATTAATAATGTTTTATCTATAATTTTCAAGAAATTTAAAATATATAAATGAAATAAATTTTTCATGCAAGGTGTGATGAGAAAGGAGATGCAGATAAAAATGATCAATGTTTGACACCTTCCTTCAATGAAAACGTACTGTGCAATAAAAAGACTTTAAATACCATTTCAATCTTTAAAAACCTAGACCACAAGACCAACATCAACAACAGCTGCATAACCTCTGAAAGCCTCAATAATGAGTTATTTCAAACAGTTCAAAAAATTTTACTAAAATTTAAATCTTCATTAACTGAAGGAATGTACTCGACAACAACAACAAAGCCGCAGCAGCAAGATAACATTGAAACAATATGCTTGCTACCATCAGTATCGTTATTTACAACAACAACAACATCATCATTCTCGTCAACTCCATCAACAGCAACAACAACTTCAACAAAGTTCAACAGAAACGTGCATGCAATGACAAAGTACAACCATCTCTACAAATCCAGCAACAAAAATTCTAGCATATTGAAACTCATTCCTATTTTTCCAAAAAGTACAACCACGACAACAGATGCAGAGACAACAGCAATACATAGACATCACATCAAAAACATCAACAACAGATTCTTTTTCACAGGTCCAAAGACAACAATGACATCAAAAACGACATCATCATCACTGATGGAGGAAACTGGAAACAACGAAAGAACATATCAATCCAGCTGCACCATCTCAAATTTCAATAGATTCAGTTTTCTTTACAAAAATCTTCACAGCAATGTCAATTATAAACACGTCAGCAGCAGTAACACCAGCAACAACCATATTAACTCTGTAACTAACCATTGTCAGTGTAACAATAAATTAATCAACCTAAATCATAACAATACTAGCAGCAACAATAGTACTGGTATTAACAATAATATTATTAAAAATACCAACAATAAGGACGAATTTGATTGGATAGCTACTTGGCATGTGGATGGAACAAAAATTTCTTGCCGAGATGAATTCAAGTACAAAAAGTTTACAAGCAAGCATGCAACCTTCAACGCTAATGACAAATGTGACCACAGCAACAACAACAACAACAATAATAACAACAACAACGACAAAATTAAAGAGAAAAACATAAAAACACCATGTAAAGGGAAGAGTGTTGCGGACGATATTAATAATAATAATCGTTATAATAATGATAAAGTGGTCAGAGCTCAGAGATGCATTGATAATGAAAATGATGATGGTGATAATGATGATGATGCTAATGACAGTAGTGATGATGCTTTGATAATTGTTGACGACAACGACGAAAATGACGGCATTGTTGAGGATGATGATGATGATGAAGTTATTGATGATGATGAAGGTGATAGTGGTGACAAAAATAGAGACAACTTTAACAGGAATGTGGATGGTGTTGAAGCATACAACAATGGCTCTGGCGATACAGATAGTGATGACACCTGTTCTGGTGACAAATTATTTATTGGTGAAGACCGTACTAACAATTTACCAAAGACTATTGAAGAGGTTGATATAAAAAAATCAAAGCACTTACCTTCAAATCATATAGAATCTTTGGTTGTCAAAAATAAGAGGAAAAGGAAACGGAAGCAGTTGCTTCTGGATGATGAATTCTGTTGAGTATATTATATAAACTTTGATCATTTTAACTCATATTTATTTTTTGCTCAGCTTGAGTAAAGTTTGAGCAGTTATAAACAAGCTGGATTTTTCCTTTTTGACGAAGATGGCGGTATTGTTGAGGATGAGGATGATGAAGTTATTGATGACGGGGAAGGTGAGAGCGGTGATAAAAATAGAGACAACTACAACTAAAATATGGAAAGTGTTAAAGCATTTAAGAGTCATTCTGGTGATAAAGATAATGATGACAATCTTAACGCTAGACAAAAAAAACTATTTTTATTAAAATTTTTCACAACAAATTAATACCGTAAAAATCAATGTTAAATTATTTAATGTTTGGTCAATTAAAAAGTCCTTTTTGTTATTCTATCTTATAAGTTTCATAATTTTGTCCGATTTTTGTCGTACAGAAACTTTTTATTGAACATAACAATTTATAAAGCGTTATGGCGGTAAGCAGCTGTAGCGCTCTATGCCAGAAACCAATGTGTGATATAGGGTTGAACCTCATAGATGGCGAGATAGATGCTGATTTCTTAGTTTTCTTAACAATATCAAAGTTAATGTGCTGTTTCTTATATAGAACTAAAAATCAAATATAATGGTTTGAGTATATTAAAATTTTTTATGACTCATGAATAATTTTTTTGTTGGGTCCGCGTCAATCTTATTTCAATTTAACTTTCTTCAATGTAAAGGGCCGTCCGTGGATGGTGCACGTTTTGAGGAAGAGGATCAAAAAATTAGCAGTTTAAACCATGGTATATATATATATATATGTGTGTGTGTGTGTGTGTGTGTGTGTGTGTGTGTGTGTGTGTGTGTGTGTGTGTGTGTGTGTGTGTGTGTGTGTGTGTGTGTGTGTGTGTGTGTGTGTGTGTGTGTGGTTTATATAGTCTTAATAATACCAGTCAAACTAATCTGAACTTAGCGGAACTCCTTAAAGGATGGAAAAGTAATCAGAGAAGTAGGTAGAGAGTTCAAGAAAGAAGGGCCAGAAAAACCAAAGGCAGATTTAGCAAAAGAGTGTTTAACACGAGTTAAGAAGAAGCGAAAACAAGAAGACGATCGTAAACCGGGGCGTTTAGGTTCAATTAATATATCTGATAAGTACTTAGGAAATAATTTGGATTAAAACTTATACATAAATGTGCAAATTTTAAAAATGCAAGAGAACAAGATATGGAGATATATGAGAAAAGAAAGGGGCACGAGCAATTAAACGAGTAGCTGAGTTAAAAGCTTTACTTAAAGAATAGAATATAGAATCAGGAAGACCATAGTAGAGCGAGTTACAATAATCAATCCTAAATAAGACTAACGAAGTAACCAGAAGGAGAAGATTAGGATCATCAAGAAAAGGCAAAAGTTTTTTTATTCTACGTAGCAACCTTATTAATCTGAGAAGAAAGAGACATACTAGAATCATAGATAAAGACTAGACTACAAAACTTATGAGATACATCAAGAGTTTTAGAATCAGGTAAAATAATAGAAGGAATAGTAATAGAGTATTTAGATTTATTAAAATAAATTAATTTAAATTTAGAAGGATTAAGTTTAAGACACATAGAGTCAGACCAAGCGATAATTGAAGAAAGACAGAGATAGATTATAAAGAACTCTATTGAGATTAAAAGAATGATCTAGCAGCCTCAAGAAAATAGTATGATCAACAGTATCAAAAGTCAAGAGCAAGAAGAAGAGTAAGATTACTATTGTCAATAGAGAGAATGATTTCATTATGTATTTTGAGTAAAGAAGTTTCAGTACTGTGAGCAGGTCTGAAACCAGATTGAGATACAGGTAGCAAGGAGTTAGAGTTTAAATAAGATGACAATTGATTATAAACTAATTTTTTACCAAGTGACAAAAATTAAAAATATCTAGAGAAGATTTACAAAATCAATTTTTCCTTATGCCATCTAACTTATCTACTTACCTTTGTATTGACTACACGTAAATACACCATTGTGTTCAAGTTCATGAAAAACTGATTAAAATTTCAAAACTTTTGAATGATAGCAATTGATGGCAAAAAAAGTAACAATTAAACAACTATCAACGCATTAACAATTTTTATTTAAAAAATACTTCAGTTGTCATCATTTTTAACAACATTTGTACAAAAAAATTTCAATGTATTTTACGGTAGATAAAAATGTCCTAAAAACTCTCTTTCAATAATTTATTTGCTAAACTGTCTACGCCCACATGATATACATATGTCTAATCTCGGTGATTTTAAAAAATTTGTGTTGGCAGCTCTTACATTTTAATTTAATATTTTCAAAGTCTTTTCAGGTTGATTTAGTTTGGTACAATAACTTATTCCAAATTGTTTTACTATCGTCGATCACTAACTTTTTGTTGTTCAAATTTATGATGAGAAAAGTTTTTTCATGAATTATTAATTATTGGTTTTATATACTTTAAAGTTTAAAATTTAAATAATTTTATGGTATGGGGGATGACAAGAAAGTTTCATTGGATTTCCTAACATCAGAAGAAATTAAATTGATGATCAAAATTTCTGATCAGATCACAAACAAATCGGTCTTTGAAGAAATTTTAAAAGGTATCCATATTTTTATATGATTTAATATTCAATTAATTTTTAATTTAATAATTTTAATTAAATTTTAATTAATTTAACATTTAATATTCATATAATTATTTTAAATTTAAATATTTGTTTGAATTGATTGCCTTTTTTCTTTTCCTTTCTTATTTTACAGTAATTACAATACACTTTTTAGTTTTTACTTTTATATCCATTCACTCCACATGCTAAATGCATCTGGCCTACGCCCACCAATAAAATTGGCTGCTAAAATTTAAATTCTTCAAGTCATTTAAATAAAACAATAAATAATTTATGCCATACTAACAATTTTCCACTTTTGATAACTTGAATTAAAAAATTTTTGCTTGTTACTTTGTAACTTAACTTAAACTTATTTGCAGTGGTTCTCACAAATTTTGAGGGTGTATATCAAGATTTGAACCTAGCAAAAAGCTTAAACAGCACTACAAGTTTGTCACATAATGAAATCTACACTTTAGCATCTGGCCTGCATTCCCTCACTTTGCTCTCATTCAAAAATAGCATGAACAGGAAAGAGGTTTTTCATTTTTCATTATATAAATAAATTTTAAAACAAATAAAAACACATAAGACAAACACAACACTTTCTAATATAGAGCTAAGTCATAAATAACATGCACATAGTTCAACATATTTATGAAATGATTAAATGTAAATTGACCCACCGATATGCAGATGTGGGAGCTACTCACAGAGTTGATGTCAGTCAAAAATTGTCATTCCATAAAGTTCTATTAAGATTTATTCAACTCTTTTTTCTTTTTAATTTTTATTCAAAATTTTAATTAATTTCAAAATTAATAAGCATGAGTTCAATTCATTAAAGTAAAACGTTTAAAAAACGAAAAGGATGAGGGATGAACTCATATCAACTGTGATCAGTGCATTCTATGGGGAAAGGTTTGTGTTCCAGCTGTAAAAATTAAAATATTTTATAAGTAATAATTAAATAGATACCTATATAGATGAAACTTGAATCCTAGAATAAAATCTACAGACATGACAGTATTTTGAAGAACTTAAGCTCTCAAAGTACAAACATGCATTCAAAGTTGCAGTCACTCAAGTGGAGATTTGATATTGGAATCTCAAACAAGTTAATTTTTTATTGTTCTACTCAAATTTAACAACATATACCACTAGCATCTATAGAGTTTATTAGAATCAAAGATTTGTTCAGTAAATATACAAATGTTAATTAATTAACTATTCAATTAGCTAGTTAAGAGAATGTAATAAACAATTTTGGTAATGATGTTTCAATAATATTGTACAGATGCTATAAACATTATATAACAGGTTATTGAAAAAAGATTTGCAACCTGTCATCATACTGAACATAACACTTAACAATGGCGAGAACCAAACATTTCAAGTTACAACTTTGATTTACAACGAAAATTTTTTGTAACTGATTGTTAATATCCATCAAATAATATGAGATGAAATGACAAGTATGATGTGTCTACGAATACAAATCCATGGAATGACGTACATTTGTCACATAATTAATTATGCATCACATCTGATGAGTCACATTCACACCTATTGATTCAGATAAATCATTTTTTTATTTAAAAAATCAGTTTCTGACGGATGCAGAATTATTTACAACATATAAAAATTGAATTATTGAGTTAAAATTAAAAAGTAATTTAGTGGTAAAACTAATGAAAATAAATATATAAATAAATGATAATATGTAAAATATGAAAAAGATGAAATAATTGATAGATTTTTAGTGTCTTGCGACTAATACTATATTTCCTTCAGTGATGACAAGCAGTTAAGTACATACTCAATTACTAAAATTTTTAATTAAATAATTATACTTGAGTACTTTATCAGTACTTTTACTTTTATATATTTGAAAAATAAAAATACAGTGGTATTTCTTGACAATAGCGTCTCTACGACAGTCTCAACCCTTATATATATATATATATATATATATATATATATATATATATATATATATATATAGCATTTTTGTTATTCTTATACCATCTTTGGTGTATGTGGCCAGATGCTCAAGTATATATATATATACTGTATCTCTACTTTGCTGATTCTTTGTTTAATGTGAATACTTAGCGATCATTTAATTGGTTATTATGATCTTCAACTTTGTACAATAAGACACTTTTACGTGTTATCGTTATCTATAATTTTTCTGTTTCCAAATTTATTAGTGGGCACTATAATTCCGAATATATTGGTATGACGACGACCAAGCTATCGAGAAGACTCATAATGCACGTACAAACTGGCGCTATATGGAATCACATGAAAGAAAAACACAAAACCAAAGTTATTAGGCAAATCTTGAACAGCAATGTTGAGATCGTACAGTAAAATAACAACCTTTATAATTTACGATTAGCCGAGTCAATACTCATTGAACAAAGACATCTGATAATAAATATTCTGCAACGTGCGATTTTGATCCTTCCCACATATATACATATATATTTTATGCAGTATATATGTATACCTTCCAACACATATATATTTTTATATATTATATATATATATCATTAAGGTTAAGACTGTCGTAGATACAATTGTTAGGAAATATCATTAAATTTTCAGCTTTGATCGGCTTCTGGTTCAATTTTTCAATATTTTGTATCATATTTTTATTAATTTTTAACATATTTATATGGGGTTATATATATATGTGTGTGTGTGTGTGTGTGTGTGTGTCTGTGCATATGTGTATATATTTATTTATTTATATGTGTCCGTGTTGGTATTGACAGGTGTCATTGAAGAAATTTCACGAAATGCGATGTTTGACAGCCAGTTTGTTGAAAGAGGTGATCACATTAGAACGAAACAAGTTGCAGAAGGTTGCAAATTAGTAATGAATGAATCGGTGTATGAGTTGAATAAACTAACTAGATGAATGATTGAGACGATGGATCAAATATATTGATGAGTAATTGAATGAATGAATGAACATTATTCTCCCAAATCACTTATCAGTATCGAGGTATTGGAACATTGGTGGGTGAAGTTGACGAATTGTTTTCTAATTGTTTTTTGTTACAATGAAATTATCGGTTTTATTAGTTTTGTGTTTATCTAAAAATCTTGAGAAAAAAACTAAATAATTTTCTATTAAATACAAACATGGACGACTGTAATTATTTGGCTTAAAATTTTGTCATTTTCATAAATGTGCGTTTCTTTGTAACATTTATATTTAATTAAAATACTTCTGTTCATGCTGCTGTTTTCATTATCATTTGTAATGTGGAGTTTGCAAAAGCTGGTTGTATAATTGTTAAAGTATTTAAAGTATGTGTTATGGCGTGGAAGTACTTGAAAAAATCGAAAAATATATATAATATAGAATATTTATAATATTCTATAAATTCTACCGAATGTTTGGCGTTAATATAAACGCCAAACATTTGGTAGAATTTATAGAATATTGTAAAAATTATGGTCTATTACCAACAATATAGAATATATATGTTCACACAATAAGAAAAAATGCAAGCCGTTGGTTTGAACTCGGTATTATATAAAAAAAAATATTAATATATTAATTTATATGTATATTTCATTAAAAGATTTTTTATTAAAAAAAATCGTACTAAGTATTTGGCTCGAAGGTCGATTCTATTTAGAATTCAACTTGGATTAAGAATCAATTTAAATGCTAATCTAGTTAGAGATATAATTTAATTTTAAATTATTCACACATCCAAAACTGGTTCAAAATGGTTGCTACTGTTATGCAGGTACAACATGGTCGTAGGTTCATTTGTTCCTGATGATGTTAGCGACGAATTACGGTTTCGAGAAGTGACACCATTGTTATTGTGTCCGGTTACTTTGGCGTAAGGCCTAAAAACCTGCCAAAGTTGTCGATCACCAAAGGCGGCAAAAACGGCAATAGGAGTGTTGAGCAAAGTTGCTGCCACAAAAATTTCTATTTCCGAACCCCAAACTCCTTCTTGATGCATTCCTGTCTCTCGTATGTACGACTCAAAACTTGTGTGAGAAGTTTGAGAGAGGTAGGTTCTGGGGTTACTAGCGAGTTCACGAATTATCAATTCTCGAACCTGCATATTGATTTGCATATTGTTAGACATAATGCTTGAAAAACTTATTTTTTGTTACAGATTGTTCTGTTCTTAATTTGTCGCAAAATGAACTCACGGCAAGATGAGCATCTTCTGATCCGGTTATCCAAAAACTGAAAGATCTGAACAGACAATTTCCATCTCCCGCAACCTGTTCGCAATGTTTCGGTGGAGTGTCTATTGTGACAATGTGCCATGGAGACTTGGTGCGCCACAATATTCGATCAATTGTTAAGTCCAACTCTTCCGCTTTTCTTTCTTGCCATCGCCAGCTTGGTGGATTAAAAATAAGAATCGATTCTTCAATATCCCTATTGGTTAGTCTAGTCGGTTTTATCCTTTTCCTATCTATATTCATTTTCATTTCCTTAATATGATCAGCACTGTGAGTAATTTCTGTTATCAGATTTCGAAATGATCTTCTCCTGGAAGCGAAAGAATCCTGCAATCTAGTGTTTGATTGTTGAACGCTCTCTATGCTACTATCTGATTTACTCATTTTAACCGCATTTTTGTCCAACTGTTCTCTAATTTTGCAATTTTCGAAAGAAAATCACGTTTCATATTTGAAAATAATCATTTTTTTATTTGAGAACTTAAAATTATGGTTTGTCTTGTATTTTTATAATAAATAACAAAAACGAAAAACTTAATGTTTATCAGTTCCAAACAAATGCGTCATTGGACAACAGACTAAAATATTAATTGAAAATTATTTTTGTCATTGGCTATTAGTAGCTTCTTCGGTTGATGATTAAAAGTCAAGTAGATGATAGGTCGAGTGGTTCGATGTAGTGAACCGGCTGAAGTCGTTTATTTTATGATTTGATTATGTTTGGTTAAATTATTTATTTTAATTGTATAGCTTCTTTATTCCATGAAATGGCCATGAAAGGAATGGTTGAGAGGGATTGTGGTGGCACGAATGCACTGATGAATCTCACACAACAACTAAAACTAACAACACAAAGTTCAAATTTTCAGGTTCAATTTTTTTTTACTTTATTTATTTCATTTTCAAGGAAAAAAGGAAAATTTATTATAATTATATAGTTCATTTGGCTATTTAGAGACCTAATTAAACTAAACTAAAATTATAATTTATATATAAATAAAATATATAAATTATAAAATAAATAAATAAATTATTAATTAAAAAATGAAAATGACAACAACTAGCTAGAAGAGCAATAACTTAATTTGCTTGTTTATGCATTTATTTCTTTTTCTACTTTATTTTACTTGTACTTTTTACACCTGACCACTGTTTCTTATTCTTACCTATAAATAACTTGTAACTTGTGTTATTTGATGGTAACAAGAGTTCTCAGCAGCTACCTATGTATAGTATATCTAGTACTTTAATACCTCGCTAATTAACTTTTTTTTATAATTTTATTGAATTTAAAATATATTTAAGATGGTTTTAATTTTTTATTTTAAAATGATAAAAAAATATAACCTGAGTAATTGTAAATGTGAATGAAATTTATTTATTATTAGTTGAGTTTTTTTTGACAGGACATTAAACATTCTGTAGCCAACAGCAGTCAGTTATACAAAGGTCATAAGGTTATCATCGTAATTTGCAAATTTATCAAATATTATTTCAACAATAAGATGCTAGGTAATGTTTTACTTGTCTGTACAATTATTTTAACTGATAAAGTTTTAAAATTATTCAAAATTTCAAAGAACAACATGGCTCCCACAACATTCAGCATGCATGATCTGCTAGCTGAGATGCAACAACTTCCCTCTCAGCAACAGATTAGCAGACCACTATTCAAAGAATCCCAGCCATTAGGTGCCAGCCAGCAATTATTTTATTGATTTTTGTTAAATATTTTTATACTTCCTCATCTTACTTTTCAATGTGAATTTATTGGTTATTAGCATAATTTTAAAATAAAAAACAATGTTAATCAATATTTTTTTTTATTTACTTTTTCTTATTTTAGATAATCCAATCCATACCTGTGATTGGCTGGAAGAATTTCATCACCATCCAATCACAATTGAACATTCAACATTGGATTTAGACACTGGCCATTTAGATGAAGAAAAACATTTTCCTACTCACAATCTTCTTCATCATCTTCCTCTTTATCATCATTCTGATTACCATTTACCATTCCACCTTCATGAACAACAACAACATCTTCCCAATCTTCATTTGGATCAAAATTTTCAATTTTTTGAACGCTTTCCAAATGATGACATAGAGCTAAATGTTCTTGATAACGATACAAATTTTATCTATCGTTACGATGGTGTCAACGATCTATATTTGGGTGATGATTTTGTTCAGGTTGATAATGAAAATTATGTATTTGTTTACAATTATAATAATAATTAATTTATCTCAGTTTTATTAGTCTGTATTATCATTGTGATTGTCATTTTTCCACAATATATTACATTCATTTTCAAAAACATTCAGGCTAAAAAATCATCTTTAACCAGTTCTGCTTTTGAAAAATGCAATAGCAAACAGCAACAAGATGATATCACTGAGTCGAACAACATCACATTCAACAACAACAACAACAGTTTCAAAACAGATGAAAAATGTGATGATGTTTGGAGCACTATGCAAAATGGATGGAAACATCTTGTTGAAAAGTTTATTATTATTATTAATGTTGTTGTCGTCGTTGTTGTTTTTACTGTCGTTGTTGTCATTGTAGTTCATCTGGAAGGGGACGCTTCAGATGTTTAAGAATCGAGCCAGCGTCGTGATTGTGTAAAAGGGATTTGAATACTCACCTATCACTCTTCTTGATGCTGTAGATGCACTTATTCACTCACATTATAAATCAAAATAATTTATTTAGCTATTGTCCATCTTGGGAGAATGAATTTTGGACAGGTCTAGATGATGAAGAGGATGATCATTTTTATAAGGTCGCTACTTATTAATCAAGTGAAAATAATTAAGATGGTTATGAAAAGTCAATATTATTTTCACCATCAGTGTTATTGTTATCGTCATCACATACCAACCAACTGTTGCAGACCTACAAATTTGATGAAACGAATCCACTTCTATCTAACAAGAGTTTCACAGATGCTGGTGATGTTCCTGGTGATGATGTTGACGCTTTTAGTGAAGGAGTAAAGAGATTGAAGGAAGGTGATGTGGCGAATGCTGTCCTCTTCTTGGAGGCTGCTGTCCACAGACATCCTGAAGACTCCGAGGTCAGTCAGTGAGAAAAAGAGAGAGCGAAATGAAAGTGAGAGAGAGAATGAATGATGAGCGAATGTTGGAGAAACAAAGAATATAATTTTTGCAACATCTTTCATTTTTTTTACTTATACCCATTTTTTAAAAAAATGATTCGAATTTTAGACTTAAGCATGACAGATAAATTAGGTAATTCTTTATAAATTGTTCTCACGATAAACCTTCAATTTGTTAGGCCTGGTTTCATCTTGGCACCGCACAAGCTGACAATGAACAGGAGTCAATGGCCATAGCAGCTTTCAACAAGTCATCATCAATATCATTATTATCATCACCGTCATCGTTATATTTTTAATTCAGTTTATTAATGTAAAATAAATTATTCACAAATATGTTTTAATAATTTATTCGTATTATATCTATATTTCAGTGTGTGTGTGTGTTTATATTTACGTGGATGTGTTTTTGTGTCATTATGTAAATAAGATTTCATTAAAAACACCTAGATGTTGTTGTACATAATTATATTGCCAACCAACTAACTAAACAACCACTAAGATGTCTTGATTTGAATCCTGAGAACTTGAAAGCCCTGATGTCATTGGCTGTCGGGTACACGAACGAATCACTACCTCACAAAGCTTGCAAGTGCTTACGTGATTGGCTGGCCAGACATCATAAATACTCATCTCTCATTGGTCGAAAGAACAATGATGAAATAGCTAAAAGCAGTTATAAGTAACAATATGCTATGCATTTTTCAGTCACAACATTAATTATTTTCAATTTTGTTCATAATTTAATGCGGAAAATGAAAAAATAAAACGTTGGTAAATGAAGGTTAACCGGACGAAAGAGTTGACTCTTTTGTTGTTATTAACATGGTTATTAATTACGATTTTAATAATATTGCTAAATTATTAATGGTAAGAAGTCATACAGAACTGCTCGATCTATTCCTAGAAGCTGTGCACATGTCGACCAATCATATTGATCCCGATGTGCAGGTTATATTAATAGATTTTTTATCTATTTATTACTAGCAGTAACATAATCAGTTTTACATAATTCATGGAATTAATGATATTTATAATCAATAGATAAGAAATAATAGGCTTGGTTAAAAACTTTCAGATTGGAATGGGTGTGCTGTTCAATTTGACTGGTGAATATAAGAAGGCAGTTGATTGCTTTAAAACGGCTCTGCAAGTTGCTCCTGAGGTATTCATTAAATCAATCAATTAACCAGTTGACTTATTGAATTGTAAATTGATTATTCAACCGTTTGATATCTTCAATGAGTTGATGTGTATTTTTTTGTTGCCAACATCGTTATTGTCATTCTGAATCGCCGCTGCCACCACCACCCGAGGACTCCATGCTGTGGAACAAATTAGGAGCCACACTCGCCAATGGCCAGATGAGCGAGCAAGCTATAACAGCGTATCACCAGGCCCTCAATCTTCGGCCCGGTTACGTCAGGACCAGATTCAATCTCGGAGTCGCATGCGTCAATTTAGGGGCGTATAGGTCAAATATATAATTGTTTTATTGATTGAATGATCTGCTGATTAATATTTTTGTTATTGTTGGTTTTAATAGATTTGATATTTTCAACCAATGAACCAATTAAACTTGACAGGGAGGCCGTTGAACATTTCCTTTCTGCTCTAACGTTGAAAGACCAAACAAAAGGACCCAAGACAGCTTCAAACGGCAACATCATCTGGTCCAGTTTAAGGATGGCATTGTCCTTGTTGGGCAGCACAGATTTGTTGGATTCATGTGATAAGCATGATTTGCAGTTTCTCAACGCACACTTCAAATTGAATTAGAATTGTAGTTATCGGTGATTAAATCATTGATTGATGGATTATTGGTCGAATGGTTGGTTTATTGAATAATTATATTGAATAATTAATTTATTTGAATTTTATGGCTATCATCTTGCAAGAAAGAACATTGTTATAAAATTTATTTCATCATATCGTTAAAAACATTCAATTTTTTTTTGGTGATTTCCCAATTAACATGTTTTGCTCATTTTAACTCCTCATTGGTGTTTAAAATCATCAATCACGAATTTAATGTTCAATTAGTTGTTCAATGAAACTCACTTCGCTTCATTTAAACAATTTATTTTATTAGAGATTTCACAATAACAAATGAACTCAAGAAAAAAAAACACATTTTTGCAAAATTTTGCTAACTGCGACTGTATATCAAAGTAAATGAATCGTTTCATCATGCAAAATTTCACTGATGCCTTACACATTTTTAACCGCTGCTGGGTTAACAATATATAGGATCCGCACCTTCCCCACTCACCATTACCTTCGTCTTACCAATTTTGACTTTCAACCCTTTCTTTTCAATAACACTTTTTGACTTTTCCATCTGTCAAATTTTAACTGCAATTCTTCCATTCTATCAGCCATCAAGACTAAATCATCTGCATACAAAATCTCAAATAACAATATTATCACAATACAATATGAATAACAACAAATTATCTATCAAATAGATAGGTAGATAGATAAATAGATTAAAAATTAAAATACTAATAGTAGATTAGATAGCAATAGAATAGATAGATTAGAAAAGATAATGTACTACATTCGGAAGGTAGTGGCAATGATAATAAGTTTTAAAGAATTGATAATTAGTGACAAAATATAAAAATAAAAACAGTAAAATAAACTCAAACCCTGAAAACTAGCCTAAAAATTTTAAATCCGGCGCTAGTTCCAAATGATAATTCAAAATATTAATTTAAAAGTGAATTTGATATTTATTTTTCAGGTCGAACTATTTGACTTCCTTGGATTTATTCGCTTATAAAACTGCATAGCTTTTAACCATGGATATATCCATGCTTTTAACAAACAGTATAAAATGAATAAAGATACTATTTTCAAAAATTTAAAAAATTCTCAATTTGATTTCATTGCAATATCGATGATGATGATTGTGACCTGAATGATTAAAAAAACATCAAATAAAATTTAATAAATAGGATGAGTAATTCGTTGCAAATGCTGATGTAACCCATGTTTGAGAGTGCGCTGAAAAATGAAACAACAATAAAGATAGAGAATCGCATTTTTAAGAAAACAAACAAGAAGAAGCACAAACTTGAACGGCATTTAGTGAGAAGCCCCCCCGCCACGTCAAGGCAGCCGTTCATGAGGGGGTTAATAATAAAACGACAGTCTAGAAATAATAAGTAACGAAGGTCTAGAAATAATATACAACTTAACTAAAATATAACGAAAATAATATTGTGTTGATTGTTGTGTTTGATTGCTGTTGTTGATGTTGTGTTGAACAAAATACAAAACAAATAAACTAGAACGTAAGAAAGAAAGAATAGAGTCCCTAACTTATGTTCACTAAATTAACTCACCTACCTATGTTCAATTAGCTCAACTTACGAATTAATCCTACCTATTTGTACAATTACGAAGAAAAAAGTAAAGAAAAGAGAATAAAACATCAAGCAAATAAAACAACGAATACATGTATGTATGTATGTATGTATGTATGTATGTATGTATGTATGTATGTATGTATGTGTGTGTGTATGTATGTTTGTGTGTATGTATGTATGTGTGTGTTTGTGTGTGTATGTATGCTCG